CCTGTACGTTGCATTAGTTTCAACAAACGGGGTACGATGTTAGCTGGCGGTTGTAGTGATGGCTTTTGCATAGTTTGGGATTTCCAATCGATGAGCATTGTCCGAAAGGCAAAGTGTCACGTCGTCTCGGTGACCGGCGTAAGGTAAACTTTTGTGCCTCGCATTATCAACCGACAATTTCTTTTCTAAACCGTCAAGTGACATATTATGACATTACAGTTGGTCACGCAATGGCCATTGCGTTCTTTCGTGTGGCGAGGACGAAAAATGTGTCTATTGGGATCTAAAGAGAGGCACACAAAAAATTATTCAATTTGGCTGCTCGGTACTCACGGCACAAATGCACCCAAAAAATAAGTTAGTAAATACCTGTTTTTCTGCATTCTAAATATTCTCTTTATCATTCGAGGCTCATTCGTCAGTGACAGCTTTATGTTTGTCGCCTCGTTATTCCAAGAATCACCGGTAGTCGTGGAATTGGGAGATACGAATCGACATTTTTCCCTACCAACTAATCCAGATACATCGGAACCAAATTCCCCAAAGTACAGTATCTTGCGTAAACATTCAATCCGTTATTTTTTACTTGTTCAACCGTTCGGAAGGACTTACTTGTTACTGATGATAGGCAATAATAATCCGCTCTATAGTAAAACAGTTGTTTGTCGTTATGACAAGCACGGCACGCGCATACTTGCAGGCACTAGCCAAGGCTTTCTGAATATAATTGATTCGGAATCACTACAGGCAAGTGAATTCTATCATCATTCTTTCATTTGGGGCTAAGTTTCTTTTTGACTCTCAACAATAATTCATTCATATACCAGATACTTAGTACCACTAGAATTAGCAATTCAGCAGTCAAAGAGATAATTGTGAGTCGTAATGGGAAGTATGTGTCTTCTCTTGGGTTGCAAGGCAATTGTGAAAGTGATTCATACATATTTCAATTAATGTTACTTTTTTTAATTGATTCTGTTGGTGTGTATATGTACATGGTTTCTTTCTTCTACAATTTTTTTTTTCTCTCCATTTTTTCTATCATTATTTCCTTCTTAACAGAGATGTAATCGTACAAACTTTGGATAAAACTATTCGCCTATATTGGCTGGATGACCAAGGATTGCATAATTCAGAGCTGTTGTTTGCGGAAACCGTCAATAAAAATAATTGGAATCAATGTTGTTTCAGCCAAGTCGGCGAATATATAATCGGAGGTTGTTAATCCTTTTAATATCGGTTAAATAAAATGCCAAATTATTCTCAATCCGTTTTCCAGTTAGTAAATTTCTACTTTTGATTTTTTTTTTCTTTTTAAGGTTCGGCCAAGTTAGCTTCTCATGAAATATACATATGGGACATAGGAACCGCCAGGCTAGTTCAAACTTTGCAAGGCCCTTACGAAACCCTCATAGATCTTGCTCAGCATCCAGTCCAGCCGGTCATCGTATCACTGGACGAACATGGAGCCATACATACGTGGACGACGCGTCACAAAGAGGATTGGGTTAATTGGGACCCGGAATTCACGGAAATCCATGACAACATAGTGTACGAAGAGCGGGAGGATGAGTTTGATATCATTAGCGACGAGGAAAATTTCGGAACAGAAAGTAATCAACTTCAAGATATCGATGATGAAGAAATTGATGTAGCGACGATTGATAGACCAGAAAGGTCAGACTCTTCGGAAAACGAAGATGGATTCCTTGATCTGTATGATTCGGGAGTTGAAAAAACGGAATTTTACAACGTCGCAAGAAATGCACAAAATGAATATTCGGGGAATAATACTATGGTTGTTTCAAATAGCTCCGATATAGCGCAAAGTGTAAAATTGAAAGAGAAGAACAAAACTCCCATCGAGCATGACAAAGAAACAAATAGGTGGATTGAAGATTCATGGTAGAAAAGAAATTTTTGTAGTTAACTTTAAGCATTTGGAGTCGGATAAACAAAAAATAATAATGCAAGATCCCGACTCCGAAAACTAAATTGAGGCATATTGTATTGATTCTAACCATATATGTTTATGGTTTGTTACGTATATAGATTTCCAGTGGAACTTCTAATTTAGATAGTTAAACGATCACTGGATGATCTGATACACTCGAAATATATGCACACTTCTAACTCAACACCTGTAAATAGTTTTTTTTCTCACAAGTCCAACGTTACTGCATATTAAATTAAATTTAACGCAGACATGTCACATGTATTAACGATAAATATATGGCCAATTGAAATTAAGAGTTATGTATAAGCCCCACCTGTGTTCCGTGTTTCGTGCGTACATACATAACTTCATTATCTCTTTGTTAAAACACTTTTCGGATCTTTAAAAAAACTCGGAAATCGTAGCTAAAAGCAATAGCATGTGTGAAAATAACGAAAATACGTGTCAGGAAATTACAGAAGCTGTTGACAATGAGCGTCAAGGCTTTAAATTTTCATTGGATTCCTTTCTGATAAAGCCCCCTTCACCTTCGCCCTCACCTTTAAATTCGTTACCGTCGACTTCAAATTTACGATTCACATCGCACGGAGACTTGGGAAAACTTTTTGCCCTACAAGGAAATGGTGTCGCTTTTGAGAATACTACTATCGCCTCTGAACAAGTAGAGCAACAACCACTATTTCGCAAGATTGCACGTCCCATACCACCTTCTCTGAATACCAACCTTACTCAACTAATAATGTCACATAATAATGGCAATTATAATAGTAATTTTGCCGCATCCCCTTATCAATCTGATAGTCCAGACGACACATCAGGTCACAGGAGGAGGGATAGTAATGTCTCGGCAATGTCAATACAATTGTACGACGTAGTAGGATCAGGTCATCAACGACGTGATAGCAATGTATCTAACATGTCGATGCAATTAGACACCCCCACTCCTTCAAGTGGGACGGAATCTGGTAATGAAGAAGAAAGTAAATTAGCCTGCTTCCCCTTTACATTTACACAAAAATCATTAACGATGTCAAGGCCTAGTACGCCGACGACACCACCACCGCCATCACATCCAACAAATTTCTGTTCTACTCCAGCAACAAGAACAAGTGTGTCATCATTAGTTACTCATCCTCAACGTATGAGAAGAATGAGTTTAGATATAAGCATGGAAACGGGTTGTTTGTCGGAGGGGAGAAATGAGAAACAATCACCTATACATCGCGCTGTCAGAGCGAGGAGAGCTTCGCTCTTGGTATGCTGATTATTTAATTGTTTGATTTAATACTTTCCCTCGATATTGATTTTATCTAAATGATTTAGCCAAAAACGAAATCTTTTCAACGTGTTGCCAATGAGCTTCAAGAAGAATCTCGTCCGATTGAGACGGAAATAAAACAAGAATACAAGACGACCAAAGTACTAAAGAATGAACTTGATTGCATAATGGATACCGGAAAATTAACCGAGGTATTTATCTTTTTAAATTCTTTAATTGCAATATAATGATATCTTGAATATTTATTGTTGTTTCATTTATTAGGAATTTCTTAATAACTGGATCAAAATCAGGGACATACAACCTTCTCCACCACCATATGCGGCTTCCAAGTTGAATCCAGAAATCGAGCTTTCGGTATTTTAAAAGACTTGTTCTCTTACGATCCTTTTTTAAACTTACTAACTCAGTTCTAATAGTTCCGACAAGATACTCCCTCACCAACATCTACCGCTGGATCATGTCCTATTAGTAGTCGTATAAAACGAAAAGGTAATGAAATTTCTTTACACAAATTAGGTGACCTGAGTGCAGTCGTGACATTAATGATTTCATTACCTTTCGCTTATAGCCTCAGACGATCGGTTTGAACCATATTTTAATCCAAAAAGGCGGGCTGTGTCACCAAGTCTGGTTGGGAGTCCTCCAGTCGCCTCGAGCGTTCCATCACCACCAGTTTCATCCTACTCCTCAGGAGCAGTAGGGCCGTCGAGTAGCTACCTAACTTCGAGAGGACAGGTTAAGGGAAATAGTAATTTGGCCAATATTCATGATGCTAACGGAAGTTTTAGTAGAATGAATTTGAACGGTGAATGATCAGTTCATTTGTAAATAAACCGAATCTTAGATGATTGTAATATTACATATTTATCATAAAAAATAAAAAAATATAATATAAAATTTTTTTGTTTCGATAATAATCTAATTTTTATTTGTATAACTCTAGTAGACCCTTATAATTCATGATCAGTGCGCGTCGTTCGTGGTTCTAAAACGCACAAATTATATATGTACATGAAAAACAATACGCCATAAGACATCTCGGTTTCGTTAAATCCGAAGAAACTTTCCAAATACAAGAAATGGGACGCACTAATTAACTAGTAGACTATCAAATTCAACTGTAAATTACTCAACCAAATCGACTTAAGCTTTTTTCACACTTTTCTTAGAACTATTACTCTTTATCATAACCAAAGACAAAAACGTGAACACAACAGTTAAACCCACGAGTAATATGACGACTGGTATTTTTATGGCATACGACCTATCCGGAAAATATTCGTGTAATGGGTGACCATCATCCACAAAAGGCTGCGAACAGTAAATTAATTAACCTTCCATACTTCGATTTTCAGTGATAATGAATAAAGTGAAAAATACGAACCATTATTAAAGCCCATATCGTGTAATAGAGAAACAATGCTACGGAAGAAAGAAGTAAAGTAGCACCCAAAGCCTTATCTTGTCCGCTTGACGCCTAGTGAAAAAA